CACTTCCTGATCTGACAACATTTCCACAACAGTCATGCTTCTTATCTCCTTTCCTTGTGCTCCAGTGAAGTTTCAAATGCTTGAAATATTTCTTCCTCACTCCTTGCTTTCCTGTTTCTCTCATTCATTATGACAATGGATTCTAACTCCCAACTCTTCTAAAATGAGAGGTTCTTCATCTCTTATCATTTTAGAATTCTAATGTTGTTAATCCACAGGTTGCTGTCCAGCCCCTTCCATGCCACCAGTTCACTACCCAGTGTTCTGGCTAACCTGTCACCACCTTCTAGTAATAATCTCCTCCCACTGCAATGGGTAATTCATGTTCTCTGGTTTCTGTGGGTGCAGCAATCTCAAGCAGTGGAAGACTTCTTGCTTCTAGTTCTTGATGCCAATTATCTCCTGGGATCTTAATTGCACACTTGTAGTGTTTCAGTGCCTCAAGTTCAAGGCCCCTTCTCTCCCCAGAAGCATTCTGTGGCAATGCTTTCCCCAACCGAAACAGCCTATTCCTCTCCCTTTGCAGAATTTGCAATACAGCTCAGCTCTTGATATGGGAAGTGTTCCTTGCTTCTTCAGCTCCCTTCTTCCTGAAGAAGTTTATGCACAAGATTCCTCTGCTTTGTGATCAGAACCTTCTCAGTAGATCCAGCTCAGTTCTGGTGCTCCCATATTCAGTGCTGCCATTGACTGGGGTAGCAGCCCAGGCCTTCCTCCATTCTAAATATGGCTGTGTTGACTTTAACTGGCCTTTCTTTGCTTCTTGCCAGAATGGAATTTCCTTCTTGGCTCTCAACTTCCACTTGGGGGGCATCTCATGGAGTCTGAGATGGAATTCATGAACTTCGGCAAGCTCATATTTTGCTGTTCATCCCCCCCACCCCATCCTAACTGATCTGGGTATTTGGGAAGCTGCCTTTCAGCAGCTCGGTTGATTAGTCCATGTGGCCCAATGTTGCCTATTTTATCCAGACCTGAACCTGGAAGCTTCTGGAGGCAAGGTACACGCTCCATCTCTGCGCTATGGAAAGAAACTATGTCCATTTATTTTGTCTTCACAGAGCCAGCCAATACACGGGGCATTTGCGGTGACCCCCTGGCCGTGACTGTGTGGATCTGCTTTCACACAGTGTGAATAGGGCTAAGTGACTAAGTTTTTAGACTCTGACTAAAAACTGGCACACTGGATGCACATTATCTCCAGGCTTTGCTATAAAACAAATCCCCGGCTCCAGCCCTCTTTACTGGGCATCCACTCCTCCTTGCCTTGCTATCAACACCTCTGTTAAAAATAACCAGATGGCCAATTGCAAGCTCACTTTCTGTGGAGAGAGCCAGTTGGAAATTTTGCTGTTCATACAGTTATGCTTAATCAGCTCTGTTTTGCTCTATTTAATGGAAAGACTTACCTCTGTTTCAAGATGTTTGGCAGAAGCAACTTATGTTCATGGAAGATTCTTACTTTTTCTTCCATGATTTCTTTTTCCTATGAAGCAGCCTATGCCAAACATTGGACTGTAATGTTTTCATTTTGAAATCCTAGAATTAGCTGTTTGCAAGGAAATGGTTGTAGAAGGCATCTAGGATGTCTCAACTAATTGTCAAAATATCTGGGAAGAGCCAAGTATGAGATGGTTTGACTCCCTAAAGGAAGCCACAGCTCTGAGTTTACAAAAGCTGGGCAGGGCTGTGAGGGACTGGACATTTTGGAGGGTGCTGATTCAACAGGGTCCCCATAAGTTGAGGAAGTCTTTTTTTTTAAAGAAATTTTATTAAACTTTTAAACTAATACTAAAAACATCAATCATCACATACATTGGACTTACTGTTGAGGAAGTATGATGGCACAGAACAACATCTGGGAAGAGGATGTCTAAAACCAGCTCAAATAAAATATGGGAATACACCTAACTCCCAAGTGCTTTACTGAAAAAGTAGAATGATGCCCATAGTCTTATCTTAAAGAAACAATTCTGTTGCCTTACAAAATGATTACTTGCACTTTTAAACATTAGGGGTAGGGGAGAAATTTGAACAGTTTGCACTTTTATGTGAATGTACCTAACCTTGCACCTAGAGTGTTCCAGGTGGAAGAGGGGAACACTGGGAACATGGGGGGAACTCAAAATAACCCTGATTATCACCCTGTCCAGGGGGGAAAGTCCACACCCTGCTTTCATGAGCAAAGATTCCATAAGACTTTGCTATTGCTTGACAGCTTGCCTTTTGACAGCTGTCAAGAGTGCAGACTAAAAAAAAAACCTTGGCATATTAGTAGCCTCTCAGGTTCAATGCCCATGGTTGCTGCCTCCTACTGGAGATGTGTAGGCAAGGCTTCCCACTGCAGACCCCTCTGCACTTGTACAAGACTGAATAAAAATAAGCAAAAATAAGCAAATTACTTGCACTTAAAAGTGGGGGGGGGCAGTGAGTTCCTCCAATGTGCTGCTGGGGTACTTTGGAAGGGCTGTCACTGGCTGTCATCTCCAAGAGCACAAAAGCAATCTCTGGTGGAAATCTAAGGACTAAGTGACAGTGAGAGCCAAAGATATTGTGATCAGCATGGGGGGTGTCAAGCTAGGGGTGGTTGTAGCATTGTGTCACCTGGGCATTGGGTGAGGTGGTTGCAACAGGTGTTGGCCCATAAGAATCCAGCAGGTTTTTATGCTCTCGCTGAACAGCCTGCTTGCTGCTTTCATGTATCCACCACTCATCTGGCTCTGACAACACAGTATTCCGTCGTGAGTATAACAAGCCCTACAACAAGCCATGGGTTGGCAGGGTGGCTTGTTGCCCACAAACAACAAGGAAAACCTTCCAGGTTATCCATAATGGATTTCCCTATTGTGCAAACTTAGCCAATGTACTCAGTTCTTGAAACCTTATTTACAAAAATGGCCTATTTTGTTTATGGAAACAATGCATATTTTCAAGTGCAGAGGTGCAGCTTCCCCTCCAGTTCATTAGCCAATGTTTTTATTTTTCAAGTTTTATACTACAGGGCTCCCGGTGGCTAAACTTTTCCCAAGCCAGTCTTTGGTTTGCTGTGCTCCACACAGTTGCCTTCCATTCTTCTATGACATCGTCCTGGGACGACACAGTAATTAGCAGAGCTTTGCCAAATGTCCATGTTTTACATCATCACCCTTTGTTTCTCAAGAGGGAACCCAAGGCTCATTAAGTGTGCTTCAAAGCTCTCTTTGGTCACTTTGCAGGCCATGTTCAGAAAAACAGCCCCGAGCCAACAGAATAATGGAAACAATATTTCTTAATTACTCGCTTAAGCCATGCACCAAAGGTAGTGATGACCTCACTCTCTCAGCACTGTTTATGCTCAGTGGCAGAGGGCTTCCAGAATCTCAGCTGCGGTCTTTCCTGGAGATGCTACGGGCCTTCAGCAGGGGTGTTTTGTATGCAACAGCTGAGCTCTACCAATGAGCAAGGACCCTTGTCTTAAAAATGCTCATGCACAAGGCAACTGCAAAGCCCCCTGGCCCCTTTAACTGTGCAATGCATATGGTCGCTATCTAGAACTTCTAAGATATTTTTGGAATAAAAACACTTGGTTCATGAGTGGGCATTCCCACTGTGCCAGCGATTTCATGAACAGGTAAGACCCAGCTCCCCACAGCTACGGTGCTGGTGCCTAGATATTAAAGATGCCCTAACCTGGAAGGATCTAATGATGCAAGATAAATGCATTTTTAGGTAGATTTTTGTCTGTTTCCTTCCCCTCCCAATTGGAAAAAAAACACCTCTTTGCTGAAGCATTCTCCCTTTTTCCTACGTAACTTGGCACGGCCTCCAAAGTATTAGTTGGATCTACTGCTGCTGCTTTAAAAAAATGCTGAAAAAACCCCCAGGTTCCCCCCACCCCACCCCCCTCAACCCAAACACTGCCAGAGCAATGTCAGAAATGACAAGGCTTTGAAACAATGGCATGAGACTCAATTATGTGTCTTTTTTGTAGCCTGTAAGTTAAAGAAGTTATGGGAGCCAAGTATAGAGATGTTGTATTAGTAACAAAACGACAAGACAAAATGAAGACAAGATTTTAAGTGAAGAAATGGGCCATGTTTTGTGAGAAAGTGAGTCACTTCTTTTTAGTAATTTAATGCATTCTGGTTACTGTCCAAGTCCTCAAAATGCACACACCTTGGTGCAGTGCAGATTACGGGACACATTACTAGGGGAAGTCTCTGCCTAAATCGCTTTGAAACATATGGAGTTTAGTTTTTCTTGGTTTAATTTCTCTTCTGCTTGATGGATCTTGTATCTTGGGGGCAGTAGATTGTGCCCAGTTTTATTTACAACCCTATCCTGCATTATTATTTTTACTTATCTATTAGTATTCAGAGCAAATATTCCTGTTCTGTGATTGAGTTATGGGGGTAGCTATTATTTTATGAAATTCCTAATAATTTACAAACCATAAAACCTCTCAAAAACAATATACAAATATAAAAAAGCATGAAAAAAATCAAGCTTCTTGAACTTGTGACACCAAGAATCCAAGTGGGTTCCAGGTAAGCCTCTAGAGAAATTTCTACCAAGAACAAGATAACTTGTGGAACCTTAATGACTAACAAATGTATTATGTATTCGTGAAGAAAGGCCCACTTCATGATAGCCACTTAAGCTTGTAACAGAATTGTCAGCCTGTAATTTTGGTATCTCCTGCCTCACTGTTATCTCATGTTATTCTTTAGATCCATATCCTGAGGATTACACAGCACATACTTGACGCACAGTGCTCTCTGCTCCACAAAAGTTCATGCATAATACATTTATTAGTCTTCAGAGTGCCATAACCCTTTCTGGGGGGAGGGGTCAGCATTTCAAAGCTGCCACTTTTCCCAGTAATCACCTGTCACAGCTCAGTGGCAGAATTCAGAAAAGGGCCTCTGATCTCTATTCACGGCAGACTTTAAATGGTCCAAACTAGCTTAGAACTATCCCATGCTCTGACACACAAATTAAAAAAAACCAAGACAAGGAGATACTTTTATCTTTTTATTAAGAAACAAAACCCATAGGGTTCATTACACAGAAAATACAATCATTTCCCGGTATTTATTTTTGGCTTGTTTTTTAAAAACCCTTTTACAGTAGTTGAGAAAACACAAACCCCTGCATTATTGAATTCGTCATTGTGCAACTCAGATGGAGCAAATTCTGCCCTGACTCCTGGAGGGAAAGCTTTGCTTTCTCAGCTTTCAACTGGTCCCTTAGAAAGATGCTATATGCTTTCAAAGGGACCCTTTTCTGCAAACAATCTAAGGCCACAGTTTATTTGCAAGTAAACCAGTAAGTGATACCAAGATCAAAGACAAAACAGCAGCATCGTGATTCTTTGTGCTGCTGCTGCTTTTCTGTTGCAGGACCACAATTATACCAATGGCCAGGCTTTATTGGCATTACAGTCAGTCATTGGAAGCACCTAATAGTTACAATTTTAGTATTCTAAGACATGCATGCTATACAGCCATGTTATTGCTATTCAAGTAGTAAAAAGGAGCTAATAAGATTTTTTTTGTTCCCTTTGTATATATTATCAACCTGCACCATTTTTTTTTTAAAAGCAGGCATTCCATTTCTTTTAAGAAAGGCATTAGTATTACCAGTCTGGGTTGGGTTTTAAGACAAATGTCTTTCTCAAAAGGAGCTGCAATGTATGATTTTGGTTCAAGTAAGCAAATGGGCAACATGCCACTAGTTTAAGTGCACTTCCTTGTCCCACTTGTCCAAGCAGAGCAGTTGCGACATTTCCAGCCCGTCTCAACTGATACTTAAGAAGTGCATCAGTTCACCACATTCTGTCACTGCAACGTGCCCAAGAAACAACACCCAGATAGAAGCATGAGTGACATTTCTGGGACCACCGGGCTGTGGCACAGGGTTAAGCGCTCTTAAACGTACTCTTTTTACATCCTCCCATGATAGCAACTGTTTGTGCCCAGGAGGGGAGAATGCTGGAGACACGGTCTGGTTCAGGGGGTGCTGCTGAGCAGGCATGCCTGGGAAGACACTGCACTCCCCCCACCCCACCACAAATAAAAAGAGAGTCTGTGCTCCTGCTAATCAATCACGGAGATGGATGCTTTGCTAGTAACTATTTTTTAAATTTCAATCTGCCCAACAGATGAAGCTCTCTGGACAGTTCAAATATCAAATAAGACCATATCAGATAAAATGGAAGGAGTTGCATTACAGACTCTCACAAAAGTCAGTTTCTGCTGTCCCTTTACAAAAAGAAGGCACCAATCTGTGACTGAGGGCAGGTGTGGAAGAAAAATATGGCTCAGACCAGCTGCTCTCTTTGAATGCTGTGCCTGGGCACTTTGCTTTTCACAGCAAGTAATCTGACTACTGCACTATGGCATTACTGCTTTACTCAGGGCCCTCCCTCCTTCCTGCTTGTCAAATTTCACCCTGGCTGATGCAGTAACAGACAGCAGATATTATGCACGTTAGGAAAAAGCAGTGCCACTTAAGATTTTGGCTGCAATCCTGCCCAGAATTTGCATGAGAATTTCACAGCTTATTAATGGCTGACGGAAGCTCCATGAGCAATGAAACTTCTCCCTAACTCACAATAACGGCAGAGATCAACTTGCTCCTCTGAACATAGGGTTTTACTACACAGGGAGTCCTTTCTGTTCCTCCTTCCCATCCCTACAAATGATGATCCCTGATCAGCCTCTGTAAGAATGAATTCCATGGCCTCTGAACACTGCACAGCATCAGATGATGCACTACTGTGCCTTGCTTTGCCACCCACCCCATTACATGCCAGAACTCTTCACAAGCAGAACTACTTGCTCACTAGGAAACAGAATGGCCCCAATCCTATAAACATGCCAAGGATTAAGCCCTCTCTCTGCTTCTGAGGAAGGCAGAGGGGCAAATAAGGGTCCCTTTTACACATCAGATTTTAGTATCTACTTTAGAACATTGACTTTTAGTTGGCTATTCTTTTACAGTAAATCAAATGACACCTTTCGGACAGATTCAAAGTGGTCGTTGATTATAAGAGGCAGCCCTTTTAATTTCTTTTGCATTATTTTTAATGCAAGTACTTAAAACTACAAGAGGCAGGAGCCATCCTAGGGAGTCATTCCTCTTTCTTTAAGCCGCAAAATGATGTTATTTGTTATCTATCTTGTGCCAGGTACATGCATGGCATCTTACTGTATACAAAGGGTCAGGTACCTGCCTGGAGAGCTTATATAACAGGGAAATGGGAGGTGGAGGTAGGACAAGTGGGGTAGGGAGAGTATAGGTATGTACAGAGCTTCCTATCACCTATGAAGCAGCCCTAGCACAAGATATTACTCTTAGCAACAAAAGTCACATTCTAAATGACCTGAGAAATAAGTCAAATTATATTGCACCATGATAAAACTCAGCTCAACTAAACAAAAGATGGCAAAGGACAATGCCCCTGCAAATGAACCCTATTGTTGTACATAAGCACAGTATTTTAAGAGGCTTTCATTTTGGTGTTACAGAGCATTGACCTGTCAAATTATGATTTTGCAAGAAAATCCATCCTCCCCACCACAACTCTTCATAGACAAAATATACCCTTTTGGACCTATTGACAATTCTTCCCATTTGTCTTTTATTAATTACGAGAAATTAAACTTTATGCAGAATTACTTTTGGGTCTCAGTCCCATATCCAACGGAGGTAGGCCTTTTATTTTTGTTTTAAAAGAGGATCTTAAATATAAAAAATCCCTTGCTACTGATGAGGGTCACTTTCTTTCATCATTCCTACTGAATGAAAAAGCATCCCGTCTATAGTCAATCCAGTTCTCTAGCAGCAGCGATACAGAATGATGAAATTAAGGGCTGGGTGTGTATTTGGCTACTTTGGCACTTTGCCAGATCACGTCCCATTACTAAAGATGCCAAAAAACACAAGCTTGCAGTGTTGTGGAAAAGCTAATCTACTTCCCTTTTTCAAATTAAAAACTGAACAGGAACCCAGTGTGCAGAGAAGCTATAAAATTCCAGCTTTAGCACTAAAATAAATTTTTTACCATACAGACTGACAAAAAAACAGTATTTACAGTATCTTTAACATCCCTCAAAATCAGTATGAATTTTAGTACCACCTTTTTATTGCTATCAGATGGGTGGTTTAAAAATGCTGAATTGATCCAGGACATTCTCGTCTGGGTGCAGAACTTGCCAAACTGAAGCCGTGGAAACCAAATGGAGTGCCTTTTGGTCACAGAAATCCAATTGTCTTATCACCTCAGTGCAGCCATGCCCACTTGCTTCTTCAGCTCGGCTTAAGTACTGTTTGCACCGATTTCTAAGTCTTCTTTCTTTTCAGATAAGTTCCATTTGCCCCATGGGAGAGGTCTTTGATCTGGTAATATGACTTCATGCCTTCTTCTATGGCAACTACTTCAACAAGGCATCCTTGCATCTCTTCCTTCTCCACAAAGGGGCACAAGCTACTCTGAGGAAAAACTTCAGTTGTCTCGATACATGCCTGTTTCAACGTAGATGTCCAGTGGTGTTCAGAAGTTTTATTAGAAGCAGAGGCTGTAGTAACCAAAATCAGTACGATCCATCTGACCAAGGTGCAACTTTTAAAAAATCATAATTAAGCAATGATTGACACTGGTTGATTGTCTTCCACCTCAGAAGGATGTGGGTCAATCTGCAGAGAAAAGAAATACACTTACTGCTCAGGAGTCTGAAGCTAATGTGGAACTTGGGTAGAGTTAAGAGTTGCTCTCATAATATGCAGTTGAACAACTTAATTTACCTCTGAATAGAGAGGAGGGGGCTGAAACCGGAACTCCTGTATGTAAGCAAACATAGGACAACAGAGCTGCTCTTCACAGTCAATGCGATGTGGAAAAACAGTAACATGCCTTGAGAACTCTTCCTCTGACACCACATCAGCATAATTGGGAGGTGCTAAGAAAGGAAAACACACATTAACTAAGTCAGTTCAGCAACTACTTCATTAGCTCTCTGCTGCACATGAATCTGTGCCTAAGCTGTTACGACAACTGAATGGTCAGTAGAGTTTAAATCATGCACTACCTAAGAAGCACTTAAATCTTATGAACTGAAACAACAAAAAGACAGAGTATAGCTTTCATTACAGTAATTTACTTGGGACACATTAGAAGGACCCCATGATTTATAAATTTAACTTGTATTTCATCCTTCCCCAAATAAATTCAACATAGCATTTTTTTCTCATAATCACCCTACAAGATAGATCCGGGTACTTAAGGTCATGGATGAGTGGGAATTTTAGCTTGGTTCTCCCCAAGTCAACATTCCACTAGCTATATTTGCTCATGTTACTCCAAGTACACCAGGTAAAACCATCACCTCAAAGCAAAATCCCAGTCTGTACCTTCTGGATGTTCTGGCATTGTCAGTGCCAGCCAGCTCATATCCATACCAAGCTGGCTGGCAAGACTGGAGTTCCTGCTGGAAAATGCCGTACATGGAATTGTGCCAATCACCAGGGGCAGTTCAAGCATTAACTTTTTAGCACCAGGAATATGAATGTATACCTGTGACAAGAAATATGAAATTTCACAGTAACTGCAGGGGGGAACCAGACCTAGTTGACAGAAGCTTCATTCTTATCAAGCAACAAGGTCCAAAATTTCCCGTCAGCCATTTTGGGTAAAGCATACAAGTTTGCCACAATTAAGCAATACCATGAAGGTTCCATGAACAGCCCATGGGCCTCTATTAATTTACCAGCATCACTAAATGGACAGAGCAACACAAGCTGTTCTCCACAGTCAGTGTTTTCAGAACTCTTCCTCAGATACAACATATAATTTTCTTTAAAAAGTTAAACATGAAAAGCTATACTCACAGCTAAGGAATATTCAACTCTGATAATACAGCAGTCAAGGATCGAAGGAGACACTGGTGGAATTTTCAAAGTTTTCCCATTCCAGGTATCTGTGCTCCCAGAAGCCACATGATTTCCCCTCACGTTGGCAACCATCTGGCGAAAAGATTTTGTTTTTCCACTAGCCAGGTAAGTCTGTGTTTGAAAAATGGCAGCTTTTGGAACAATTAAACGAGAGGAACAGTTCTCAATTTCTGCATAGATTGGTATAGCTTCACCTAAAACAAAGACAAAACAATCCAGAAAGTAAATCAGCTGATCATTATGTGGTTCTTAAGTGTTAAAGAGCTTCATGTAGCAAGTGCGGAAAAACTTTCCTTTTTCTGCTGGCAATCTTTCATGCCACTCCCTTATGGGATAGCCTAAATATTTGTTCTTAAGCAAAACATACTTTGTACACAGGCAATGCATGTGCTGAAAAGGGCTCGGGTGGGAATGTGGATGGTTAGGGTTTGTAATAGTTTTTTTCCCCTGGCCAAACGGGTTTTGAGTACATCCAAAGTTTATTACTGCAATGGGCACCATGAAAACTTTTAAAATTTGTATACAAATATACTATGACAATTACAGAAAATTTATTTATGTGCCAAGAAAGCTCCCTCTAACCAGGTGTTCTCATTCCTCTGAAAGCTAACACATTTTAAAGGCAAGCATTGTTTAACAGAGTAGACCTCCAATGTATACAATTTTTAATCTCACATATATAAGCTTGCTTTTACTTAGCTTTTCACTTAATTTTTTCTCTTTATGCCACAAAATCTTGAGCATTTTAAACAGGATATTGCATGGGTGGAAAATGATGCTATCAGTGAAACACAGAATCCTAGCACTGATACACAGACAGAGTACTTCAAGGAGAGAATTAGAAATGACAGGGGAGGTTTTCTTGTTCGCTTATTCTGCCCTGAAAGTGCCCTCATTCTAGGCCATTCAAGCAATTTCGCCCACAGCAAGTTCTAAAAATGGAAGGAGTACAACAGCTCCACATGAAGCAGAGAGGAAATCTAGAAAAGACTGGCCATGTCCCTCCCCCTTGCTAATCCTTCTCCACACACCCTTCACTTCTGCATCTCCATTATTTTGGAAAGAGAAGTCTGAGGCCATGCATTTGCCAACTGAATGTCTAGCTCTGCTCTGAATATAATAAACGGAAGAATTCACACTTGCCATTACAATAGCCTTTCCTCTCAATTTTGGCACTCAGAGAAACTGGGCCAGAAGTGAAAAACCAGCAACCAACCATCTTCTCCTGGCTTTGCCTCACAGGGCTCTGAAAAAATAAGAAGAAAAATCAATAAAAACAATATGGAGCTTTGAAATTTCTCAGTAGCAACATTTCATCTGTGGCAGATGCACCTGTGTGCAGCAGCCAGAATGGCACACAAGGAGCATCCAGAACAAGGCGATGGAGGCGAAGCGGGTACATCTGCTCGCGTGGTGCACCCAATCCCATTCTAACAGGCAATTGCGCTAAACAAGGCATGGGTCTCATGCAGCTCCAAGCTGACCAGTTCCTCCGAAGGAAACCCATCCCCTGCCCATTTTTATTCCACAGGATAGCTCTGTAGGGCAGCATATTTACTTGTCCAGCAACTGCAGCAGGCTCATTGCTCTCTGCTGCCATGACTAGAGATCCCAAGTTAGCAGTTTGAAACCACTATCCAGATGTTCATTTCAATTACTATTCAATTATTAGTCAAATGATGTTATTGGTCACATGTGTAAAGTGAGTTGTGTCAACTACCACTGTGCAAACTACTGCCATATGACTCTAGTTTTTATAGCTGATCCTGGATATTTTCCAGAGAGGCACAACCAGAGATTAACTCACTGGGACTATGTACATTCAGGACATCTTCACTTAGCAGGCAGAAGCATGAAGTAACAGCAGTAGATGACCAAAAACCATCCCCCTTCCATTTTCTATATGGGAAAGGATAGATTGTGCTAACACTCAACATCCTATTATATTAACGAAGCACGAATCTTTCAATTGACTCAAAGCACAAGCCTCCAAAAAACAAGAACTATTCTGGTTTACACCATGTTATTAAATGCCACCTTATGGTACAGTGCAAAATTTGAGGGTATTGTTGCTCACATTCCTAAATGGCTTAGGACCTGGATATCTGAAGGAACGTCACCTTTCCTCTGTGCCTGCTTGCCTGCCCCTTAAGATCTGGTGTGGAGGTCCTTCTCCGGGAGCCCTCCTTGAAGATTAGGAGGGTGGCTACCTGGAGAGGGGCCTTCCTGGCAATGGTGGCCCAGTTATGGAATGTGCTGCCCAGAGAAGTGCATCTGGCACCGACTCTGTACTCTTTTCAGTGCCAGGTTTCATGTGGGTTTTATTTTATTGGATGCTGTGCTTCATTGTATTCTGTTTTTATTGTAGACCATTCTGAGACTGTAGTTGTCAGTATATAAAACTTTAAATAAATAAATTCCTATAAACACTCAACAGGAACAGTAGTTGGTGACCTAGTTCAGGCAGGATCACAACCAACCCCTGCTTATTTTAGGTGGGTTGCTGTGTCAGGCAAACAGGGGCAGCTCTACCAGTTGTGGCTTATTGCTCACAGGCTATTTTGGGGCCGTTTTCACCCATGCTGCGTCATTGTGGGTGTGCCCCAATATCCAGCTGCATGGGGAGAGCACCAAAATCTGCTGCCACTCCTTGGCAAGCAGCTGCCAGGTGGGTGCCGCTGACAAGAGCATTACAAGTGTCCAAATGGCATTTGGGAACTGCTGTCAGAAGCAAGTACTTTTGCTCCAGAAGCCTTCGGCCTTGTTTTGAAAAGCACTCTGGTGTTCGCATTCCTTGTTCTGTCAATCATGACCCACTAAATTAAGAATCAGTAGCTTCTCTGCATGGGCTATGGTCTGTTTTTGGAACAGTTAGTTATCTCTTTATATTCATCTTTTCCGTATCCCAAGGTCAATCACAGATAAAGATGGGCAGTGAATTTTAATTAGCTGTAGACATTCACTGCCACAGTCGCAGCTCCCTCAGCAGACAATAGATTGAACACTGCTTTGTATTAAGTTTTGATGGCAATGCAGGCCTAGTTATGATTACACAGTGGCTAAGTCACTTTATTCATAGAATCCTAGAATAGTAGAGTTGGAAGGGGCCATGAAAGCCATCGAGTCCAACGCCCTGCTGTTGCAGACACCACTTTACACAACCCCACTCAGATGGCTGGCCAGCTTCCTCTTGAATGTCTCCAGTGTGGAAGAGCCCACCACCTCTCCAAGCAGCTGGTTCCACTGTTGTATTGCTCTGACAGGGAGGAAACTTTTCCTGATGTCCAGCCTGAATCTGGGTTGTTGCAACTTGAATTGATTATTCTGTGTCCTACACTATGGCATTAGCAAAAAGAGATCTTGACCTTCCTCTTTGTGACAGCCTTCGAGGTACTTCTAGAGGGTTATCATGTCCGCCCTCAGTCTTCTCTTCTCAAGGCTGAACATGCCTAGTTCTCTCAGCCTCTCCTCATAGGGTGGTGTTTCCAAACCCTGGATCATTTTTGTTGCCCTCCTCTGCACCCTAATTTACCTGCATCTTTCTTAAAACTTGGTGCCCAGAACTGGACACAGTATTCCAGGTGAGGTCTGACTTGTGAGGAGTATAGAGGAACTACTGTGTCTTGTGATTTGGAAGGAATACTTCTGTTAATGCATCCCAAAATAGCATTTGCCCTTTTGGCAGTGCATCACATTGCTGGGTCATATGTAGCCCACTGTCCGCAATTACTCCGAGATCCTTTTCTTTTTCAGTTCTGTTGAGCCACATATTCCTCATCTTATATTGATGCATTTGGTTTCTTTTTTCTAGGTGGAGAACTTGATACTTGCACTTGTTGAATCTCATTCTGTTGCTTTGAGCCCAGTGTTCCAAGTTTATTAATATCACCCTGAATCTTCATTCTGTCTTCTAGGGTGTCTGTTATTCCACCATTTTGTATCTTCTGCAAATCTGATCATTTTTCCTTGTACTTCTTCATCTAAATCATTAATGATGTGGAAGAGCGCTGGGGCCAGGACTGAATCCTGTGGCACCCCACTAGTTACCCCAGCATGCTTCAAGGCTATTTCTTCAGATGTTCTTTAGGTAAGCAAAAACAGAGAAAGGCAAGTGCCGATGCCCATTCTGGCCAGCCCTAGCTCAATTAATAATGTGATGGGGGAGAAAACAGGTAGGTGCACTGCAACTCTGCCACAAGTGGACCATCCTGTACTACATACTAGCCTCAGTATAAATTCAAGGATGAGGAAAGGAGATGAAGGCAGCAATTTGTCTTGCGTCATCTACAATCTGCAAAGGGTGGCTGTGAAAGGCTCCTAATGTGACGGTAGTGATGATTTTTCTGTGTGCTCTTTTGTCTTCCACTGAGATAAGAAAGTTAATATTCAATATTCACTTCTCTCTTGGGGCATTTCATTTTTCTCAAATTTTGTAAGCCAGGAACAGTTGTGTTTTTACAGCTTGCTTTCTAGGGTGCAAGACCACCTATTCCCATGTTAGTTTGAAAAAAACCACCTCACATACTATTTTTAAATTCCCAGGCAACTTTTTAGGGGGGTAGGCTAGTAATTTTTATGCATTTTATTTATTAAATACTTCATAACATAAATTTGTCTAGGTATTTTACATTTAAAAAAACTACAATACAATTAAATCCCAATAAAATATCAATCATATACATTAACAAGCATGGCAACAGAGCATAACATTTAATGTAGGGAATAAGTAAAACTGCACTGCAAGGAATAAATGATAAAATAACACAGTATCTAAAAGAATTCAAAAGCCTGGGAGAACAGGAAGGTATCAACATAGCACCAAAAAGAAAACAGTGTGGGGGCCAGGCAAGCTTCCCTTGGGAAAGCATTCCAGAACCACCAAAAAAGCACCCTCTAGCTGCTACCCTCCAAGTCTCAGAAAGGTGGTGTTTAAAGAAGGGCTTCTGTGCATAACCTTAAGGTAGATATATATGAGAGGGGGCACTGCTTTAGGTATCAAAGTCTCAAGCCATTCAGAGCTCTGCAGGCTAAAACCAGCCTTTCGATTTGGGCCTGGAAATGACTTGGGTCCAGTTAACATAGTTGAATTCTGCAGTAAAAATTAAATCCTACCCATGATCTGAGAAAAGTATACACGTATTTTGTTCATTTAACCTGCTTTGTTATACTGCTGCATATTTCAGTGTAATACTGAATACACTGAAATACACACTCAGTCCTAATGTCTCATATTTTATTTAGAAGGAACAGTGACAAAAACCTTCTGAGAAAGCAGAACTGGTGAAGAAGAATCTAGTCATGCTGCCTCAGCATTATGATGAAAAGTTAAAACGATTCCAGCATTTCCCAAGCAGTAGAAATCATACAATCAAATTTAAACATACTGCAAATTCTAATTTTATGTTTTTCAGCAGGAATCAAACTAATTCATTTTCATTGTCTATGCTATTACCCTAACCTGCTTTTATTACTACATTCCCACTGGTCATTAGAAATTGAATGCCTTAATGTAACCAAATCCATCATAAGAAAATAATAACTGAAAAGGTGGAAGCAGCTGCATCTGCACACTTAATACTGGAAAACAACATTCACAATGCTAGGATACACAGCACAGGGATCAGAGCTTCAATCAGCTTGGAATGGTAAACAGTTCACTTTAATTACTGTCCCATAATCTACAATTTATTTGTTTATTTATAAAAGCTTTTATATACCATTTGCTTAGCCAGAGGCTTTCTGAATGCTTTGCAACAAGAATAAAAGAAAACCAATACTATAATAACAGTAACAATAACAACAATGAGGAGGAGGTGGTTTAGGGCTCATAAATGTAGCTATACTCTGATAAAAGTAAGTACTTTTCAGCTTCTGCGTTACTGTTAGTAAGCCTTATTAATGCATGTCAATCCAGGCCCAAATTTTGGCAGAACAACTGTGCCAGCAGGAACCTCTCCCCCACCCCAACGGTGCTTGCAATTCATGCAACCTACAGCTATCTATTTATAGAGAAAGCTTAGAAAAGAGCTTACATGCACTGAAAGGTCAGCAAAGTAAAAACAAAACAAAACCCGAAATATCACAGTCTGTCAGACTATGGCTGAGTGGAGGACTGAGCCCATGCACAGCCCGGCTAGATCTGTTCTTACCAGAAGAACTGGGGAATTGACATCAATGTGGCTGATAACCTGGAATTCCCTCTTCACAGCTTGGCTGGGGGTCACCGGGCTTTCCAGAGTTGCTTTCACATAGTACTGAATGTTGCCATACTTTCCTGTGAAAGATGTTGGCAAGGATCTGAACACAAGACAAGAAATTCCCATTTACAAGTTTACCATGTTTCTCAGATGTAGACTCACAGCTGTGAGACTCACAGCAAACACAAGCAGCTGTTTACAATGTTCTCGCTGGAATGCCAAAAGCCTGAGGGGCATTATAACTAACCAGGCACGTGCGAGATTCTGACGGGGAATCTCATCACAGGTTGAGTTCAGTCCACGTGACTGGAAGTGAACAGAATTATGCTCTGCAGTATGATGCTTCCTGCACATCGTAAGTACCATTAAGCCTGTTTGTAGTTGGGCTGGCATGCCAGGCAATTAACTGCCTATTTGACTGTAGTTAAATATTCCATGAAGCCAGTAATGCTATTGTTTAGCTGGTGGTTTACCTCTGTTTGTTTGTTATATTTGTACACTGAGCAACCTGAGGTTTTAACGGTTTAAATTTAGCCAAGTAAAATTAACCAAATAACATCTAATGCAAATATTTAAAATACGGTAATGTATCTGAAACAACAAAACTGAAAGACTAAAATGCTTGAGAAAATAAGATGATCTTCACCTAATGCTAAAAGCAGCGCAATGGATGAACCAGGCAAGCTTCCCTGGGAAACGCATTCCTCGGCCAGGTTACCACACACAAAAATGGTCATCTTCTTAGTAGCTACCCACCTCACTTCATCTGGCAAAGGTTCTTGGAAAAATCCACTTAAAATCCTTCTAAGGCCATGTAGGCACATATGAGCAGAGACAAGCCATTTAAGGCTCTGAATGTTAATATGAGCACTTTGAATTGAGCTCCCAAAAGGACTTTCTCCATTGGCTAGCAAGAAGTTTGTTTGCCCTCTAGCCATACAGTACTTAGGGGGCAAATGTATCAGCACAACAAAAACTACAGATATATCCATACAGATGTAGGAACCTAATTAGTCATCAGCAACAGAGGCTGCTGTTTCAGTTTCATTTTGCATGTGCGAGGTTGCGCACACACAGGGTGGTAATTTTGTAGGCCAACTCTGGTGTTCAGGATAAAAACCAATGAGAAGAATTCTTTAAGTGAATCATTCAGCTATTCTTCTTTTCTTTTTAGTTCCATGATCTGCCTGGTCAACGGCCTAACCTAAATTTGTAGCTTTCATGGTGGTGAAGAAATGCAACAGCACTGTCTGCTGTTAAATGGTCTGGAGCCCCCTTCCTTGGACCACCTGACCCCTGTCCTGGCACATTCCTCTTCTGTCCAGCCCTCATTCGGCGTGGTCCATGCAAACAGTGCAGAGCTTTATGAGAGGGTGCAGCCATGCAGTTTCAATAAGATGGAAGTCTCTGAACCTTATCTTAATGCTATTTGCAACTAAAAACTAAGTTGCCCACACAGGCCATCTTGTACAACCCTCTCCACAACTGAGTTGTTTGAGATCACAGCTGCTCGGAAGAGAATACAGTAATGAAGAGTGTGCACTGGCCGAGACCCTCCCACAACAGCTTTCTTGAGCTGTGTTTTGCCTCTCCGCTGCTGACTGCTGGAATCAGTCCTTGCTTGGCAAAGGTACTGGGGATAAAGCTGGAAGACTTGTAAAACTCTGTAATTTTCATTCCTCGGGATTGAATAGATCCCACTACCTGTGAATAAATTGCTTTCTTCAAACTCTTGAAACAAGGCAAGTAAAACAAAATCAAGATCAGGGCAGAATTTGAATTTGGGGGCAAAAAAAAAAAATCTGTTCCATTCACAATGGTCTGCTATTTTGAAAGTCTCTCTAGATATTCTTCAAGAATATTACAGCACAAGTATATCAAGCTATGTTACTGCTGCACTTACTGCTGGGGGAGTTGAAAGCTGAAGGGGAATTCATGTTTTCCAGCTTCTAATAGGATTAAGTCCTCATCACCTAAAGCAGAAAGAAAATGTGATCATTTTTAATTGAACTCACAACTGCAGTGATTATAAAAACAAACTGTGAAAAACAAACTGTGGAATCAGTGGCATCTATTGACTACGTGCCATGTTGAAGAGGGCAATTACTTCTTTTCATATATGACCAAGAACGACCTCAAACTAAGAATAGTTAAACTTGGATACAGAATACAGATTCAAAGAGTGCTTACGAAGCCAAGCGTGTGAAGCAAAGACAACGCAGCAAAACCACGTGTAGCAAAACCATGCTGGCCAAGTCCTCTTCACTCCTCTACAGGAGCGGGTGGAACCAGGCTGGTTTTGCTTTGCTGAGCACAAGTTTCCCTAACGGCAAAAGTAGCTGGTCCAGATGCCAGATGCAAAATGTAAGATGTGTCCAGTGGGTCTGACTATGTTGACATTGTATATCCCATTGAGGGCTGGGCACAGGTAATGAGGCTTCCCCACTAAGCATGGTTCTGCATTTCTAGTTGGAACAAAACCCAGTTAGCTATGCACAAGCAAAACATGTGGTTCCTGCCCACTCCAACCAAGCATGTTCTTTAGATAAAAATCTAGATCATTTTTCCCTCAGAACCCAAGAATTCCTGGTTCATACATTACAAAGAATCCCCCAGGAGGGAGCATCTGTGGGTTGTTGAGCTTGGTGGGACCAGGAGGGCTGCTGGCATGCTCACTCCTTCTCATTCAGGACCACCCATGTTTTCTTTAATGCCTCGGTAGCAACAACAGCAAGATGTGGGTCATACAGTCCTATATTCAAAATATTTACCAAGTATATAAATGAGAACTGGTATGATGGAACATCCAAGTCCTCCCTATTGAGCTGGACAGTGTAACGTTGAATGCTGCCACATCCAGCCTTAACCCATTTCTAGCTTGCAAGAAATCTTGAGCAGCAGGAGTACATTTGTACCACACTATTATATTGCACTAATACAACATCATGGCTTGTAACACTGCATTGGTCTCATATTTGACATTAGGCGACCAGAGGGCCAGGCAGAATTCACATGCACGTTTATAATTAATCACTGCAGAAAGTGTTTCTTGGAAAAGTCCTCCCCATTAAAAAAAAAAAAAAAAAAAAGCACACAGACAATAAAGACCTATTCTTACTTCTATTTTTTCCGAGAGAATGCTTCTTCTGAAATGTGACCTAATTTACTTCCTTGTACTAGCAAAGCTCAGGTCTTATCACTTAATAAAAATACAGTTCTTTAAACACATTTATACTTATAAAATATGAACACAGGTTAGGTTCTGGATTCTTTTGTGTTGAAAAGGAAAACTGGGTAGCCAGTCATTAGATCTCTGGAAAAGAGGGGTTTAAGAAGTTGAGCTTTGCTTATAAGTTTGTTTGAGCTATGATAGAGAAAAGCCACTGTGCTACAGTGGTTAAAAGTGTTGGACTGGGACTCAGGAAATCTAGGATCTAGTCCCCACTTGGCCAGGAAACTCCCTGGGTGACAGTGGGCCAGGCATGGTCTCTCAGACTAGCCTACCTCACAGGGTTCTTGTCCTGAGGATAAAATGGAGAGAAAAACCTTGTAAGCTGCCTTGGACTCCTGGCAAGAGGAAGAAAGCAGGGATATCAATGCAATGTAGTGAAAGTAATCACACAGCAGGAAACACTGGTTGAGACATAATATGAGAGAATCCAGCCATGATTTAATTAAGCAGAAAATGAGCATTAGGCCCACAGATTAACCCCCTCCTGTACACCAGTTCAATACTGGCTTAATAGCTAGGACCCACTGTTACGTTTGGTGCCACAGCCTTGACAAAAGAAATTTTGTGTTTTAAAAGTCAGATTTTTAAAACTGGTTTTGAAAAAGTCCAGCCTTCCTTCACAGAAACATTTTTGCATGGTGCACTTCTTCAGGTGCTTCCAAACTGCAGTTTTTTGGCCACTGTAGCAGTTGCACCATATAAGCCCCTCAAAAGGGATCACCTGGAGCAAAATGCATTCAGCACGGCCTATGTGCAATACTGCTGCACACTGGTCTGTCTTGAAATACCTCAATTACACCACGATTTAGAGTGCATTCCTATGCATGTGTAGCTTAAAAAAGAGCCCTACAATTTCCAGCATGGCCCAGGCAGCCATGCTGGTAAGTGCAAACCCTTTTTTTTAGGGAACCATGAATGGACTTGTGCCTTCAATGTCTTATCCAGAATTTGCAAACATTAGAAGTTGCTTCTGTTGCTTCAAGAAGCAATCCAAAAATGTTGGCAGCCTCTGAATCAAAGGTTCATGATGGAATCACAGGATCGGCCATGTGTGGAGAATCAGGCAATTCATCCTGCCACATACCTTAGAAAAGTATCCTCTGGGCAACACCCTGTCATACCAGTCTGAGCAAGCCCATCAGCTCTTGTGATCTCATCCGGGAAAGCAGGCACAACTATTCTGTCTTCCCGTTGCAGCTTTTAGGAGCAGGTGCATGTTCACTTAAATGGCAGAGAACAAAGGTGGACTTGCTTTAGAGCCACAAAAATGCAGGGGGGGGGGTTGTACTTCCCTATATTCATTTGCCTCAAGGTGTGGCATGGAGAGGTAGACAGAGAAATAAATTTGCAAAAACATGGTCCATCTTCCACTCCTGCCATGAACTCACTGTGAAATCTTAATCAAGCCATGCTCTATCATTCTTATATCATTAGAGTAGCAAATATTTCAGTTAACACATGTTCCTTAAGCTCCAGATATCCTTTACTTCTTATGTTGTTTGCACCAAGTGAAGCGTTATATAAAGAAGTTTTTTAAAAGCATGGTCTCCTTCTAAAATTGAGTAATATGGAAATGCTGCAATATTCCTGCATGAGAATATTAAAGGAGTAGGGCTGCTCTTGCCAATTTAAGGAGCTGTGAAGGAAATTTGAGCTGTATAAGGCAAAGTAAAGACTACAGTAGGAAACCCTGAATCATGTCATTTGAAATGATGCTCAGAATGGAGAGGATAAAGAACAGCATTCTATATTCCTGGAGCAGTTTAGAAATAATACTTTCTACTACTGTTTGGCTTATCTGAACACTGCAAATTTATTATATAAATAACAGAGGTCGATAGGAGATTAAGCACTGAATGTGAAGATGGTTCCCACTGATGTGGGATGAAAAAATAGTCTTCTATACAGAGTATTCCACTTCCACACATGCATTAAGTCATAAAATGAGGTTGCAATTCTATGCATGTTTACTCCAAGAAAAAATGGTTTTACATCTCCCAGAATCCTTGAACTGGGGGCATGACTGATCTGACACAAACCTGCCCCCACCATGAAGAATTACCCCAAATGTTGAGCGCCCCCTTTGCGGACACCTAAGGCAGCAGTCCTTGCCTAAGAAACCAAGGGATCATGCTGCAAAAAAGGAAGCAGCCTTCTTCCACGAAGTGTGGTCTTCTGGAACTTTGCAGGGAGCCAACTGGAGAAACTTGAATAGGTTGGCTCTGTGTAAAGCAGAGGGGAGAGTACTTTAAGCAGTAAGTGGGCAGGATCAGAGAGGTGGGGCGCTGACCACTCCTCCTGCCATGGTGGCTGCGGTCCCCGGGGTGTTGGCGGCTGCTCTTGGTACCACCGGGCTCCCTGCCCCTCCCCATTGCATCGCCCTGGAATTTTAAAATATATATTTATGGAAACTGGGAGGGCCACACGCCACAAAGAAAGCGCTGGCCGCTAGTGCCCATGTGGGGTACAAGAGGGTGTTCTGATGGGGTGTGTGCTTTGCTCCATGTGCTCCTCTCCGAGCATCATCCGTGTTCCTTCTGTGACATGGATATTGGCTGTGGCACACAGCCGAGCATGTGGTCTGGCACATGCGGTTCAGGCCACACCTCTGTCTTGTGGGTGCCGTGAGGAATCGTCATCCAGCCGGCCGGCCCTGAACACAAACGCCTCCTCGCTTCCTTTTCTGCGAAAAGGGCTTTGGGGCTGGAAGCTGCAAGGGAGTTTTTGCATTTCGTAGCGCAGAGCCCAAACCTCTCTGCCTTGGGCTTTGCTTCTTGGGCAAGTCGCTTCTCTTTCGGTCTTCCCAGCGTGCCTCCGGAAGGAAGGTGTTCTAGGGGTGGCCGTGCCCATTTTGGCAGGCATTCTGTGGGCTGGGCAAGCCCCACCCCATGGCAGCCGTTTTGCGAGGGCCCCACAACCCTTCTGCAAAATTCCAAACGGGCCCAAATGGTTGAGGCCCCATCGGTGCGGGTGTTCAAAGATAGGCTGGACATGCACATGGTGGGCATGTCGTGAGTGGAGCTGGCTGGAGCCGGGGTTCAGACTAGATGGCCCAGGAGGCCCCTACTGACCCGCGCTGTTTCTATGTTTCTAAATGACAATGCGCAGCCCCACGTACTGCTGGCTATTCCTGGATTGGAAAAGCTGCTTTCACAATATTGAAATCTTATGTTCCTGTAGTATCCCATCCCCTTGAGGCACTGCAGATAGATCAAGGCCCCTGCTGTGCCCAATCATCTAAATAACAGAGTGTGGTTACGTTTCCCAAGGTTTTTCTGTGTCATGCAAACTCTTCCACTAAGTTAGATCTCCATCAATTTTAGGGGCAGAACATTTTCTAATTCAAAATGTTCAGGAAGTGACAGAATGTAGAGCTGGAAAAATGGTTCTCAGAACAAAGTTAAGTGATCAAGAAGTCAGCAGTTTGCATCATGAATCACCTACTTGGTTTTCATTACTACAGAAACCCACATACAGCCGAGACCAGCACAATAAAACCGTAAAGCACTTTGCAAAATTAAAAGTGCTACGATTATGACAAAATATTGTAAGAGAGCAGCTTCTTTTGCCAAGGAGTGATTTCAATTAGCTATATTTTTAAACTACGGGTATGTGCTCTTGATTTTATGATGACTTTTAAAGCAGTTATGCAATAACTTGTGTAGCCTGGCAGTCATCTCTATATGGCAACCTTTCTAGATACATACCAATTCCATAAAACCCCCCTGACCTCTTTTCTGCTGCCTATCCAATCCTGCCCTGCAAAACAGCGAGGCCTTTAAATACACGGAAGGCCACAATACAGGGCTGCTGCTTCTTGATTGTGCAAGCCTATGGGAAATTCTTGGTTGTCTTTTGGGCTAGGGCGTTTTGATAAGGACTCAGTTAGATGAAAGTTCATTTGCAGGTACCTTTACAAGTATCAAATATTTACTCCAAAATGTAATGCCCACAATTCTGACATTTTATTTTACTTCAAATGGGAACCTAAAAAGCTACCCTGAACTGAGTAAAACCATTGCTCTATCTAGCTAGTATCACTGACATTGACTGTCAGCATCTTCCTGGGTTTCAGGCATGATTTTTTCCAGTTCTACCTGGAGATATCAGGAATTAAACCTAGAAACATTTTCATGCAAATTACTGAGCCATGCCAGAGTCATCTGTTCAAAAACTGCAGCAGAAAGGAAGTGGAATGCCCTCCCACATATTCTTTGAAAGTGTGGAAAAAGCTTCAAGAGAAACTTGCTTATCTTGAGCAGTAAGATTTTCCTGTGAAAATACAATTCATTTCTTTGGTCCCAAGCAGAGTAATTCCCATTATTTCACAATAAGGATGGGTATTTTCTTTCAACAATACTGTACTGAACTGGTTTATCTATGAGCAAAACCCTATTATTGTCTACATTGTGGCCACTGTACACTGGCAGCATTTAGATGTCTGTTTAAGCCAGAATCCATGGCTTTGTAAACCATCATGTGAACAAGCAAGATGCTGGGCCATGCAGCCAGTTTGGACACAAGCAGATAAACCAGAAAGAGCTTGGCGCACCATCCAAAGCTAGGATTATGATTTACCACACTTGATGCAGCTTTGCTTGCTTGCTTATGTATCTTGCTTTGGCTGCATTTAACCATAATCCTGAGTTTGGACATCCCATGTAGTTTTTCTCTTCTTAGTTCATTTACCTGCTCATGCAAAGGGAGGAGCAAAATAATAGGGAACGTGAGGGTATTAGCATGCTCTTTGTTCATAATTATGGTGTAATAAGCCAGAATCACTGCTAACTGATAAATGAGCAGAGACACTGTCTCCTTAAG